ACCTATCAACCCACTATACAACTCCCAAAATCTATTCAATTTCTAAAGGATTTTCTGATGCAGACCCTAATCCATCAATTTTCTTTCCAAGTTTGGCTATCTTGTAAATCGTAAATGATACCCATTTGCCACCGCATAATTGGTCAAAGCAAATTTCAGTTGTTGTGGGCCCTCATATATTTCTTTTTCTGTTGGTTTCATAAGACTCCATTTAGTCTTTGGGTTGTGGACAGGAAATTCATATTCAATCCCTTCTTCATCATCATCAGCCTCTGGTATTCTTGATGACCCACCTAATTCTTCCTCATGCCCAAGAGTTTCAGCAAATGAATTAGACAGCTTGCCATTATCACATAACAAATTGAGAAACTCATCATTTTGTGTAAAGTTCAAACCCCCTGCTATTTCATCTTCAAGAGTTACATCCAAACTTTCATCATCACGGTCACCACTAAAGTCATGTACATTTGCAGATGATTCCATTACACACCTGCCATAACATAATAATCAATGTTACAAACACATATTGATGGATTAAAACAGGAAAAAAGACTCCCCAACTCGAACCTGTTATTAAACCCTAAAACCGAGTCTGATAGGAAACCTTAAAAGCAGATACGAAACCTTAAAACTCCAAAGAATTCAAAACACTGAACCCTAAATTCGATTTTGACATGAAACCCAAAAAAAGAAGCCCTAATTTGCAATGTACTGTGTTCGATTCAGTAAAAAGAATTCAAAAACTTGGTAAAGAAACCAACCTGCTTCGATTCTGTAATCCTTTCAGACGATCGACTTTAATGAAGCTTCAATGTCGATCGATTGGGGGCTGCATCGACTTCACAGTAAAATCACCCCGCTCGTTTGTTGGAGGAGTATCGAATTTGTTTTTAGTGTACGTCTATTAGCCTCAAATGCCACAAATTAATCTATAACCTGTTTTACTGGCTGCTTCAAGTCATAATGGTCGGATTAAAACGTTTTTAAAAAATATGATGGTTTTATTACAACAAATGAAAATATGATGGTTAAACCGACCCAAGTTACAAAATATAGTGATTTTTTCGTCATTTTCCCTAAAGGAAATTAGGTCGTAAAAAAAGGTTTGTGAAAAACCAGAGTAGAGGAGAGATGTATGTTATCTAGCAATTAAAAAAAAAGGCCAAAGGAATCAAACCTTGTATTGCCTCTCCCATACATACCGGATGGCCTTAATTGTAAATACTTACTAAAGTGATAAAATTATTGTTCACCTTTCATAATTGTTAGTAATAAATAATAAAGACTTTCATAATTGTTAGTAATAAATAATAAAGACCACAACAAGTCAACATCGCAAATGATTGCTAGCCCAATTGGAGGCACCAACTTTTTCCCCTTGTAGGGTTTTCTTTTGGAGGTGGTGGATTCAAGCCTTGCTCGAATCAAAGTGGTGAATTATAGGTGCTGGAGAAAGGGAGGCAATTCCGGGCTGACGCTTTGCAGACCCGTGTCTAACGTTCCCGTGTAAGCTAATATATATTAACTCTGCTTTTTCCAAAAAAAAAAAGTCCACATCAATTTCAGTATTACCCTCACAAATATTCCTATATGGTATTCACGTGATTGTTTTTTTTATGAATATGTCTTACATGGCATCCTATATGACAAATCAACTTTAGGATATTTACCAAAAATTATCACATTTTAATGTGGCATTTAACAATCTGAGTATTTGACTATCTTTTTCACCAATCACTCAAATAACCCTCCGGTTATGTTAGAAAAGTTGGGTATAGAAATGTTTGGAAATTCAGAGAATTGTGATATCAACTTTCAGATTAAAGTGTTTGAGTGATACTTCTAATCTTTAATCGGATAAGACCCAAAATATGAGAGCAAGAACAGAGAATATGATTGTTATGATTTTCGAGTGTGCCATAAAAATGAAGACCAAATTTGGTTAAGTACCTTTACCATCAGAAAACTGGCACAAGACAGTTTTATGTCTGAAAAACTATCACTAAAATAGTTTGATGTCTGAAAATTGTCACTAATTCGGGTTCTTTCTATAAGGGTCAAAACAAAGTCAAAAATTCGGGTTCTTTCGACCCCAGCCAGGGGCTCTGCCCCTTGGACGCCGCTCCCAGGGGTGCTCCCCTCGAACCCCCGTTCGTTCAGGGGTTTCACCCCTAAATGACAATCTTCTTTGAATCTTGAATAAACTTAAACAAGTTTGCACTACGCACCTTCCTTACTTGTTTAATATTCATCAACATTGATTTTTGTCAACAAGTCAATCCATTACACTTAAATACACATTGATGATACAAAATCACCAACAAACCTCCCCCATTTAAGAGTAATCTTGATTAACTTAAAACAAAACATAACAACAACAAACTGATGCATAAATGAAATGTCGTGACGATTGAATTTCACATTAGTATATTATTCATTCCAAATATTCGAATATCAGGATGTCACTAAGGATTAAACCCTTTCTATTCATAGTGAATACATGAAGATAATGCACACAACAATTTATATTCTCATAAGTTCTAACTTGACACTATATTTTACTAGCTTGTGTCTCATCCTTCAATAAGCATATCAAAGCCAAGTCCTAACTTCTTGAAGCAGCTAAACTTAATGCTTATATAGGTAGTCCTTTTATTCTTGCACTTGCAAATGCAATTTTTCAAAAGAACTATTAAGAATATAAATTCAACCTCCTTAACTTCCAGTACTAAACACATACCTTGGGATGATGATAATAATGTGTTCCAATCTTCAAATATCAAGCTTTCCACATTGAATTCAACATCTAATATTACATTAGATGGGAATTTGATATCTCAATATAAAAGATTTTAAGTGGACTTTAAACCCAACCCTACAACGCCTTGTGCACAAGATCTCTTGCTAACCCTTTGGTTAGATGATCGACTAAATTCAATTGAGTTCTTACAAACTCCACAGATATCACACCATTCATGATGAGCTCACGAATCATGCTATGTATCACACCTAAATTTCTAGACTTTCCATTGTACACTTGACTATAAGCCTTAGCCAAGGTTGCAGCACTATCACATCTGATAGAAATGCTAGATATCGGTTTGGGCCATAATGGAATTTCATAAATCAAATTCCTTAGCCATTCAGCTTCTTTACCAGCAGCAGACAATGCAACAAACTCAGACTCCATGGTTGAGGTAGTAATACAAGTCTGTTTCTTAGATGCCCAAGAAATGGCACCTCCTCCAAGAAGAAACACCCAACCACTTGTAGAGGAGTGATCCTCTAAGTTGTTGTTCCAGCTAGCATCTGAATAACCTTCCAAAACATAAGGATATCCACTATAAGTTAAACCATAATTCATGGTCATACTTGAATACTCTACTCACAGCTTACCAATGATGTGAACTAGGATTACTAGTATATCCACAAATCCTTCTCACAGCATATGATATATCAGGCCTAGTACTAATCATGACATACATTAAGCAGCCAATAGCCCTTGAGTATTCAAGTTGAGACACTGGAGATCCTTTATTAGGTCGAAGCTTTAGACTAGGATCTATAGGAGTGCTAACAGGAGAACAATTCTCAAAGTTAAACGTTTTCAATATCTTCTTAATGTAATGAGATTGAGAAATTGAAATCCCATTGTTTCCTTTTCTAATTCTTATAC